TTGTTGACAACTGCGGTTGTGTGCGCGGAGAAAGAGAGCAGGCTATCAAAGGTAACCCCTAAAATTTTTGGGTTGTTCACCGTCGGTATAGGTGTGCCGTCGACGTGAATGCCTAATTCTAGCCTGACCTCCTTCGTCCAGGTGGTGAAGAGGGTCACCGTTGATTTCGTTGGGGAGAGGGTTAGCCTCCTTGCAGTGAAGAAGCGAGAAAGGCTGGAGAGATAACCGTTTACTTTTGAGCAGAGGTCATCAATTCCATTCCCGGACGCCAAAATCGAACAATCGTCAGCGTAAGAGATCAGGGAAACTCCTTCAGGAGGCTGGGGGAGTTTCGAGATGTAGAAGTTAAAAAGTAAGGGGGAGAGAACACCACCTTGTGGAACCCCTTGTTTTATTCTTCTTGGTTTCGAGGTTTGATCTCTGAAGATTACTGATGATTGTCGACCACTCATATAATTCGCCGACCATCGCTTCAATCCCTGTGGGAGAGAGGAGGCCTCAATGTCTTCTAGCAGCGTGGAATGGCAGACGGTGTCAAACGCCTTTGACAAGTCCAACGCTACTAGGACAGTTCTCTCACAGGGGCGGTTGCGATTTAGGTCACGAGTTATCTGGGTGTTTATGGCGTTAAGTGCTGTTGTTGTGCTGTGCACTTTACGGAAGCCATGCTGATGTTTCGCTGGGGTTAGGTGGCAGGTGAAGTATTGGAGCAGCAGGGCCTCAAGTGTCTTCGCGACCGGGGAAAGGAGCGTTATCGGGCGATAAGAGTCTCCTCTGTTGGCGGGCTTCCCCGGTTTCAGCAGTAGGACCACTCTCCCTGATTTCCACACATCAGGAATGATGAGAGTGGTCATAGACAGATTGAGGACCTCCGTGAGGTATGCTACTCCCACAGGCCCCAAATGTTTCAACATCAGCATACAGATTCCGTCGGGTCCAATGGCTTTGGAGGCTTTCGCCTTCCCGATGGCCCCCTTCACTTCACCGCTGGTGAAAACAAGTGGTGCACTGTTTTTGGGCAGTTTGTGCAGCCTCCTGGTCACTCGACGTTTGGCCTTGTCTACCGAAGGATGCAGTGTGAATTGCCGACTAAAATAGTTCGCGCATTTCTTCGGGTCCG